CGACCTCTGAGGTGACCTCTGAGACGACCTCTGAGACGACCTCTGAGGTGACCTCTGAGGTGACCTCTGAGACGACCTCTGAGACGACCTCCGAGGCGACCTCTGAGACGACCTCTGAGGTGACCTCTGCAGAAGGAGCAGCTGCAGGAAGCAGCGTGTCCTCCCATTTAAGCACATTTTGAGACGTTTGTGTCCTGATTCCTCGTCCCCCTGGAGGACAGACACACCTTCAACACCAGACTGAACTAAAGCAACTTTCACTTTTATGAACTCTTTATGTTTTAATGACACAAAATATTAAATTAGGATTCACAGGTTTAAATATTTAAGAACAGAAAGGTGAAAATGTTGTTGGGGTTGTGTCGCAGCTTTGGAGCCGAGCAGCCTCTGAGTTTGTCTCGGCGTGTTTCATGAGGAATAATCTCAGATTTGTTGGTGTCTAATCTGGAGGACAGTCGTCCTCCCACTCAGACGTGGAGTTCCTCTCGTGAAAGATCAGCCGCCATGTGTGGCTGACGTTTACAGACAGCAAGCCGAAGAATTCTTCTGATTCATGCAGACAACCGCCAGCTTCGCTCCGTCCTCATCACGTTCCTCTCTGTCCTCGTTCCAGACTCGTCAGGGTCCGTCTTTTCTTAGTTTTCGTCTCCTGTCCTCGTCCTCGTGTCTTTTTAGCCGACATCGTTTTGTCTCTTCTGCTGATCTGAAGTGACCAGAGAAACATTCGGCTCGTCTCTCTCCTGTTCTGTCTCACCTCCATCGTTCCACTCGTCCTTCGTCTTCATCAGGGACAGTCTGTGTAAACGAGCGTTTGTCTTAATTATCCATGGAGAAGAGGGTCAGGTGTCCTCAGGTGGAGGACACAGATGCTGCAGAGGAAACATCAGAGCTTCGAACTCAAACTTCCTGAATGTGACGTTTTTTATGGACAAACTGTTTTTGTTTCCTTCTCTTCGCTCACGTCTCCTTTACCCTGTCGGACTTCATCTTCTGACACTTCCTGACCCCGGAGGACTCGCACAATCAAGTGTGTGTGTGTGTATGTGTGTGTGTGTGTGTGTGCGTGCGTGCGTGCGTGCGTGTGTGTGCATGTGCGTGTGCCTTCATACCAGTCAGTTCTGATTATCTGGACAGACTGATGCTCATTTGTCACCCTGCATTTGGGCTCTACTTCCTGCTTGTGTGTGCATGTGATTGTGCATGAGTGCGTGCGTGTCGACAGCGTGACATGTGACACGTCTGGCTGTCGTCTCCACACCATCCAGCTCGTGCGTGTGCCAGCAGAGCTCAGGGTTGTTGTCAGAGTTGAGCTGCCAGACGATGCAGCTCCAGATGTGTTGCAGATGTGGCCTTTTTACATTTAAAGGGATAGTTCGTGGTTTTAAAGTGGGGTTTTGGTGGAACGTGTTTGCAGCAACTTTTAGTATTTGAGTTTTTACGAAAGTCCAACTTTCTGGACTGAATGTTTTGTGTGTTTCCACACACGGTGTGAGTTCAATGAGACGTAGGACTTTAATTCTGTAGATGATGTCATGGCGTTTGGTCAAAGTTTGCTGGGAGTTTGTGCCAACACGTCCCGAGTTCACATGCTGCGTAAAGAACGATGGAAACGTCCACATCAGCCCTCCTGCAGGTTTTATAGAAATGTTTTCTACAAAAGCTTCAAAGTCCTGTGACTCGATCGTGAGGCTCACACGAGACAACTCGGTGGTTTTGATGGACCTCCTTCCTGGATGCTGTTCGACACCAACACTTTCAGCCCAGTGGTCCAAACCATCATCTGTGGTTCACATCGTTTCAGAACCGTCCCGTTTGTTTGCTCCTGCCTCTGTCCAGGTGTCCAACCTCTACCTGTACGACAGCGTGCTGATGCTGGCCAACGCCTTCTACAGGAAGCTGGAGGACAGGAAGTGGCACAGTATGGCCAGTCTGAACTGCATCAGGAAGTCCACCAAGCCGTGGAACGGAGGCTGGTCCATGCTGGAGACCATCCAGAAGGTAAGAGGTCAAACTTTGATTGTCTGCTCTGAAAAGAGACACAATATTTACACTGCAGAGAATATCTTGTCACTTTTTATCACATCTAAACAAAATCTATGAGGATTTTACGAGATTAAGTCCAATCTGACTAAACACACACACACACACACACATATATGTGTATATATATATAGGTGGGTGTGTTTACAATGTATGTTAATTGACCATCCCATCATTTGAGGTAACTGCTTTCCAGTTTTTATGTTGCTCAAAGTATAGTTGCTTCAAATAATGGGGGCAGCCAGACATTTGTAATTACCGTACCCACCACTGCACCCAGTATTCACTGGTTAACTGGTCACCATTAACTTCACACAGACTCTCCCACTGGTACATTTTCATCTTTAAATCACTTCTTGGTCTGCTGCCTTCATACATCTCCTCCTACATGTCTCTGTGTGAGTGCAGCTACAGCGTGCGCTCTCAGGACATCATTACCTGCAGTGTTCCCTCAGTGAGGACTGAACTAGACAAAAGGACCTTCTCCTACTCCGCTCCTGTTTCCTGGAATATCTTGTAAAAAGATCTGAAGCTCTCGACCTTTGACCTCTCTAAGTGGCTTCAAACATCTGTTCAGTTCCTGAGAACAACCAACACAGACATGTTCCTGTTTTTAGTTTTCTACATTCGCCTTACAACCTGTTTTTGTTACATTTTTAATACCATTTTCTTCCATTTATTTTTCAATTTATCTGCTTTTTTCATGATTGTCCATTGTTGTCGTCATTCTCTGTTTAAATCAACTCGCTCTTGAAAATGTGTCCTCGAGACTCAATGAGACTAACCTGTAGAAATAAAGGTTGAATGGAAATGAATCTAAGGGGGTCACGGCCACCATTGGCCACCCCCTGGCTCCTCCATTGCACCTGGAGGTGGATGAGACTTGTCCCTCCACTCATTAGGATCCGTCAGTCTGCGCCGCCTTGGACAAGAAAGTTTTTTTAAACTCCCTCCGTTCTTCTCCTCAGTGAAACTCCTCCCCGCTTGAATATCTCGCACCAAAAACATTTAGGTTTACTTCATTCTCTTTTTAAATCCAGTCCAGAAAAACACTCGTATTTATTTGTTTCTTTGTTCCATCACGTGAAGCTCAGAGGCTTTCCATTTGTCTCCGCTCAGATTGAATCATTTCCTGTTTCCATTCGGACTTCTTTTCTTACGAGATCCAAAATGGCAGAAAGAAAAACCCCATTGATCAGGAGGTGTAAAGTCTTTAACCTCCTCCGTCTGACAGGCTCGTGTCTCCTGATGGAGCGTTCGCTGAGCTGCACTTGCAACAGAGTGACAGATGGGCTGAGCTTCACCAAACCAAACACGTGAAAACATGATCACTCTGCAGGCGGCGACAGCGCCGACCTTTGTCTCTGACAGACGATCGCGCCGCTCGCTCTGACGGCCATCTTTAGTCTCACTTTGCATCCAGCAGGAAGTGCCGTGACGAGCCGACATTTCATCCGTGGCCTTTGAGCCGAGCAGAACTCAAGTCCTGAGCTGAACCCGTCCATCAGGCTCCTCATCTGCCACTGCAGCTCTGTAACTGATCCATCTGATCACTGATCGATAGATGGATCAGATCGATCCATCTGATCACTGATCAATAGATGGAGGATCAGATCGATCCAT